TTTTATACGTTAGGAAATTGAAATTCACATATTATTTGGCAACGCACACGAGCGCAACAGCTCCTACGGACTGTCAGGATTTATCGCCGTAAAACGCAATGAACTCGTAGCTGCAAGCATAATACTACTCGTCGTGTATGTACAGTTTTCATTCATCTATACATGTATATATTTATGCACATATAGAAACGAGTATGTAAAACTCGTATGAAAAAAGGGGTATCGTAACTACAGCAGTGATCTACACACACTGCTGGAAAAGCTAAACCCATCAAGCCGAAATCAAAAAGAGTGTGATAAAGGATAAAAAAAAATGCCCGAAGCCAAATAACATTGTTCCTTATGAGTGTCGTAACTTGGAGTCACACGAAAATTGATTTTCTAAAAAGTCTCGTTTCACATGTAACGTTAAGTCCAATTCGGTTTGCCCGCGATAACTCGGTTTTATGTGTTGTCGCGTATGTATGTGATTTTGTTTGTATCCTTTCAAATTTTTAAACTCCATACGCTAAACTGTTCCAATATATAATAAAAAAAACCTAGTTATTTTCTCCGCTCTCTGGAAAAACATTGCAACATGGATATGTTATAGCGTTATGGTCCGTTTAACCACCGTGGTTTTTTTTATGAGGTACAATTATATGCGTACTGAAAATTTAAGTAACATGTTTTTGTATAACAAAAAGGCCACAAAAAAATGTAAAAACGTACGTAATCTTAAGCTTGACAGCTAGATCACGCTAGATCAAGGGTCTTGACCAATGACGGGGACTTGACCGCTCTCCTGTTCTCCAGCAGTTGGCCTTAGCCTCTGCTTGGATCACACTCTTCAGAGCCGTAGCTTTGTCCGTTATGCCCTTGACAATCTCCTCACTGAAATTCTTTTTCTGATTTTGGTTCGCTTTGACTGACTCCATAAACTAGTCGAGTCCGCTCATTATCTTGCGTTAAGTGTCGGCCCTCGTGGTCGTTGACTTCTTATTAAATACTGTCAAGTCCGTTGAAAAGGCGGAGGTAGAGTTCCGTTCATCGCTCTCCTGCTTCCTCTTGGCGATAACATAGCTTCTTTCGACAGGTATTACATTGCTTTCGCTGTCCGCAATTGACATTTTATCGATTAAGTGTATAAAACGGTCCTCGGATGAACATACACTACTACTATTTAAGTAAAATAGTAGTTTTTGTCGATAAATCGGTCTTGGAGTGGTTCTAGGACCTCAAAACTCTCCCTAGAAAGTACCCCATACCGCCTATCGATTCCCGGTGTCGGATTGCCCAAAAGACGTCTCCTTCTCCAAAATAACAACCCTATTCGTGGTTGCTAGGTTGATGATAGCCCGCCGTCGGTGGCCGTTGCTATGCAAATCAACAATAGACTTTTGCTGGGAAAATTTCTCAAATTTCTCTCTTAAAGGCTCTAACCCGGCGGGGAGTGCAGCCACAGAGACGCGTTGTAATTGCTGAATCACGCCCTATCTGCTGATACTAAACGCGTTGGGGTTCGAACAGAGAAACGACTTGTACTCCACATACAAAATACTTTTCTTTCTAATTTCGCCTAATTCGGTGACATCGAGGGCGCCAAAAGCCCCCGAAACGACCCGCCCAGCACCTAGGCAGATGTTCTCGGCGTCAAAAACGCGCTATAGGCGAATTTTCCGTCGATTTTCGGTCTTTGAAGATATTCTGCCTAACGTGTAGCAACGAACTTGGTTTTCGCCAACTGCGTCTTCCTCTGGAAAGTTCTTCACCGACGAAGCTTCTTCCACAGTCAGTTATTCCCAGACGTTAGCCGAACTAAAAAAACACAAAATTACAATTGAAAAACGCGATATATCTATAAGTATAATCTTATATATATATACTCGGTCACGTTTAGCATTCGCACAGATTTTCCGACTGACCCCCAGCCCAATAACATATCCATGTTAATACATAATATGAATGTATACCTACGTAAAGTTTGTTGACTTAAGCCTTGAATGAAAATGTTTAATATTAGCACAATTTCGTTTTTGAAAAAAATATATGAATAAATATGTTATTGGGTTTAGAAATTATTAATTATAAATATAATCTTGACGAAAGACAGAGATTATTTATCAATTCTGCTTTATGTTTCTAAGTTTAATTAAAATGTATTAGTTATGTAGTAGGTTTGTTACATGACTTACCGATGGTATGTTTGGAAATATTAGTTTTCATTTTATAACTTGTGATTTTACTAGTACACTTGCGACAGACACCCTTTTAATTTTGTATTTCCACATGTTGTAGCTTGTTAGATATAAATAACTAATTATTCACAATGATGTGGTATTAGTCTCGCTCATAATGAACATGTCTGGTGGTACTTGTATTTACCAATGTGTACCTACGCGTTTCCAAGTTTGTGCTAAATTCATATAGGCAAACATTGTTACTCACACAGGTCTAAACGAGTATAGCTGTCAGCACCAGATATTAGAGTATAGCACCTACATCTGGTAACTGTTGTAACTGTTATAAGCTGAGCAGTTTTAAATTAAACAGTATAACAAATCTCTAACATAGAACTCCTGAAAATAAGTAAATTTTTGAGACAGTATTTCAGCATGAAGTTTGACGTCCCTATGTCTTTTCATGCAATTGAGTTTGCGAAAAAAAAGAAGAAAGTTACTCCTCTCTTGTTCTTATTCCATTGGATAATAATGTACTTAGGACTTAAGTACAGGACAACATAGTCAATATACACATGTATTAGTAAAATATTCTATGAAAAATATATGATTAAAAATAATATCGTTATGATAGTATGTTCATTGTAAATAATTTTATCAAAATACTTAACATTTCATTTTTTGTTTTTGAAATCAATGAAAACGAAGAAGAACAAAGAAGTCTGTTAATATTAACAATCTGGATCCAAATTATTAGTAGTTATAATAATATGGTATGTATGGGGTGACAACCGTCTCATTTAGGCGTTCCCTAGTTAGCAAAGTATTCTAACTGGAGAAAATGCGACCATGTTTATGCTTTCGAGCCTTTCACGTCAAACAACAGAAAAACAGCATATATCATACACACAAAATATATAATAAAGTTGATATTCTTGTAGTTTCATAACTCGTGGTAGGTATTTTGAAAAGTATAAGTAATTTATTACATCCCATGAGTATTTAAAAAAAAAAAAAAATAATTTAATATTTTTTGAGATCTGAGAAAAGAATTAAATGATTGATTGATACTGCATTAGTATTTTATTATAAAACTAATAACATACTGGAATTCCGATAAATTCATATTTTTCAACGAACTCGTAACAACTTGTTACGAAAAAATGTTTCTACAAGAGTTTTCTTGATCCAATATATTATTGTGTTGAGATTTTATTAACAAACAAAGTTAAAGTTTAAAAGTATATTGAGAAAAAATCGAAACCGTGACCTTGTTAGAAGTTAATTAAAATCCCTTTGCCGTAATCTCCTAATATAATATATATATATATATATATATATAACTTCTTCTTTTAACACCTAGTAGGGTTTCAACGTTTTAAAACCACGTCACGAGAATAACTAATAAGTGAGTTTTCAAACGTGGTTAGGCACCAGAGTCAAGAGTCAAGTGTAATATTTTATTTTTATTTTTGGTAACTGAATTTTTTTTTCTAGTTGCTTATCATCACACTGTTAAAACAATTTTGTTAATTTTTCATACTTTTAACAAAACTGAAAACATGGTATGATGTGTCAAAATAATGTTATTTTTTTGTCTTTGACCACATAGTATTATACTGTCACAAACATACAAATTGTAAACACTGATTGTATGATAAATATTCGTGCAGGTTTTCTCCACCCGTGACTGTGAAAATATTATAAATTTCATAAAATAATACCTCTAATGCAGGTATACTGCTATTTTTGCATAATAATAACAATAATATTCCTATTACAATCGGCTTTAAGCGATAAGACGTATGTACTTCTAGAAAAACATACTATCGTTGTTTATGCGCTTTGATGCCCGCATTATGGTCACTTGTCCTTTTAAATGTGCCCGCATACACTATATATTTATTTTTTCAAAATACAAGAGTAACACGTTACAGCACGACACAAAGAACGATACAAAATAACTCGTACTTAGCTTATGGGATGTTATCAGCACGAACAGTTTAAATTATACTAAAAAAACACTGTGGGTACCAGGTAAAAAAAAAAAAACGATAACATTCTAGAATCTTGGTATTGAACTTTTCTGTTTTTTTACCTTAGGTACCATTGCAAATACCTATAGTTATACTAAATTTTAATATTGACAAACATAAAGTATGTATTGTGTGTGTATTTGTAATAAATCCAACACGAGAACAATTATAAAATCAAACAAATAAATAAGAAAGTTAACATATAGTGGGGTCATAAATGTTAATGATAAGTAGATAGGTTGGAATGTCAAAGAACTACTTGGAACACTACAAATTATAAAGTAGCAATTTATCTGGTATATTAATAATATCAAAGGCAAACTAGCTTGAGTAGGACGTAAATAATGTCGTTTTTAAATTAACGTTTTGAATAAAACAAAACAAGTAAAATAAACCTAGAGAAAACTTGAGCAACTTATGGTTATATATAACAAAGAAATTAAAACTCCTAATAATAAAATAATACACTCTCTGCGTATACGTATTTCGGCAACAATGTTGTCATCTTCGGTCTGTCGTTAGCGTTGAAGATGACAACATTATTGCCGAATTATAATAGGACATCTAGTTAAATTAAATTTTGGTTTTATGACTTCGGATGAAGGAAACTGTTTTATAAAATTTTGTTTTACTTTTGGTTTGTATTCACTAGAGCGCTACTTTTATGAGATATTGTGAAAACCATTTCCGAAATTCCCTTTTATCAGTATACTCTCCTATGCAACCTTAATTTTTTTTAATAATAACAACTCAAAAATATATAAATATATTTATTTATATATATATATATTGAAAATAATGTCATAATAGTATTAATAATAATAAAATGTTTTTTAGGTATGAGAGTTAATTTATTTGTATGAGTGTAGCCAAATTATATATTTACTTATCTTCCACGTCTACTACAACCTCAAAGTGATTATTATTTATATGTAGCATATACAGACATCCGTCAACCATCTCTTGACCACCTACACCATCCTTACTGATAAATTGCCATTCTTCTCTAGAGTAAACGTAAATCGATGTCTTTAACATCTCAGCCGCAGCATATAGTTCGTAAAAATTTGCATATTGGCCTTAAAAAACCAGTAAATTTGAATAAGTATTTGATAGTTTTATAATTTAGTCATATTCTATTAAAATTTGTTTTATTATATAATATACTTGGCTAGCAGCCCCTCGAAAATAAATAATATGCTCACAAGTACCTTTCTCAAACTTTAAAAATAAAACATATTAAATATCATTGATTTCTCCTTTTTTAAAAACTTTCTACTACAGCTAAAAGGTACTTAAAAAAAATACCGGGAAATTAGAAGTTGCAAAAACAAGTCCATTTGGGTAAAAGTTGATAAAACCATTTAAAAAGAAAGTAAAAAAAAGGTTTTTAAATTACAAAAATGTACTTACCATCAATGGCCATAGTATCTAAATATTCGTTGAGTTCCTGTTTCGGATCCATCATTAAAGAAATTCTCTCAGAATTTCTCATAAACTGAAAGTAAATATATTGACTAGATTATTATATAGACTAATTTATTGTTATTCATTTTTTGTTATTACACCAACTAGAGTACTTCGCAATGCATGTTTGTATTTGTCTGAACCAGTTATCCACAGTGACAGTGCAGTAAAAAAACAGTTTCCATCTCCTTTTATGTTAATGGTTTTAGATGGAATATTCAAGGGCTTGCATATTTCTCCTTGTACGCATGGATTTGAAAAATCAAATTTTAATTTGGTGCATATATCTTGTTGCCATTCTTTTGTAACTGGCAAGAAACATGATACGTCATTCTTTACCACAGGTGCTGCCAAAGATACTTCGAAATGAAATATTTTCTGGATTTAAAATATTTCGTTTATATTAATTACAGAAATAATTAAACTTATTTTAGCGGCTAAAGGTAACAAATTACATTTTAAAATCAATACAATCATTTGGTGATTAATTAACTAGTTAATTTCAACATATTTGTAAATGTTTTTTGTAATGAACTAACGAGTATGATAAATATCGATTTCGCAATTGTACGGTAAATTTCAAAATAATAAATTAATCTAAATACATAATAAAGTAACATTTATATCACAAATTGGCCTACAAATCGAAAACTAAGTTTTTATTGTTACTGTCAAGCGTTATTCTATTTTTTTTACAAAACAACAATTTTTAAACTAATAACAAAAATATACTAATTTTAGAGATCACTTTGGAACTTGTATCCACAGATATTTACATATTAACAATTCAATTTAATTGTGCTTTAGTGTGACAAATTACTTAATTTTTTTTTCTTTATAATATGTTGTAATTTTTTTATTATGGAAACAGTTTAAACAGCCCATGTAGTGCTGTCGCTGCTCCCTCCCATGGAGGAGGTTTCCTGACGAATTTACTATCCGGGTCGGCTCGTAATTAGGGGTCTCTGTGGTGATCAAGTGAATAAAAATAATAGTATAAAACTCGTATTTATTACTCGAATTAGTGTATTAGTTTTACGTAATTCACATGATCACTTGTGTTTATTATGTTTCACGTAAGTACTTCGGTGCTCAAGCTTTCCCCGACTAAATCTAACTTAGCCGAATAGCTAAATACACATATGAAGGGCACAGGGGAAAAACGGCATTTGTCACATTATGAAAATTTTAGGGTATAGCAAAGTTCGTGAATTCCGCTCCCCCTTACCCAAGAACAAAAAAAATCGCATTAAATGCTATTCTAAAAATAAATGTATTAATTCAAATAATTTATTGACATAAATAAAAAAAATCTAATGACATAAATTGAAAAAAACTATTTGAAAAAAAAAACATTTTCATAATGTGACTACTACCGTTTTTCCCCTGTGCCCTTCATATGTGCCGAACCAATATAAATACAAATTCTTACAACATTTATCTTACGTTAGTACTATGGCGGCTTAAGGTTTCAAGCTTTACGAATTATATTTTTTTAAAGCCAGTTAATTGCTTTATTTAAAAAAATGTGATTATTAAGAACATAAATTTAAATTCATAATATAAACATACTTGTGATGGCGATCCAGTAAATACTTTTGTTACAGTATTACTTTGAGCAGGAATACTAATGCAAATGCTTTGGGCAGCATAGGAAATCACTACAGATAATATACACAAACTTATCTTTTTAAAAAACATCATTTCATTCAATATTAAAACAACCTTGATATTTTAGACGTAGATCTAACAGTGAAATATACGACGAAGCAGAACAGTAACCCGAAAACAACAACAATAATTGTGTAAATATAAAAATGTACACTTCAATATTAAAAATTATTAAATAAACATGGCTCGCAATTGTTTACACTCCATAGACTTAAAGTTGTATTATTATTTTCTACAGGTAAAATATAATAATATCGTACTGTAGTTATTTTATATAATAAACATACCATTATTTATATTTGTAGGGCTCATGAACTTTACACTTTGTGGTGTATTGAATCATGACTAGTAATATGAAACGTAGGGTAATTTGAAAAATAATACGATTAGCTGGAATAAATGTTTAACTAGATCAAATGGTATTTATTTTTTATCGCGCACTGCATGTGGATAAATTATATATTATAATATTTGTTTTTTAATTATTTACTTTGGTATACTTGAGTATAGTGTTAAATGTTATTCATGTACCTACTGTTTAGTTCTTTATAACAAAATATAAATTTTAAAGACTTTATAACAAAAATTAACATTTATTTCCTCATTCGTTTACGCAATCACCTTACTATCAATATCTGGTTTTTTAATTTTGTTATAACTAAATGGGTACTTAGCAACTAAATAATTGATATTCAAAATTAACTTGAAAATCAAAGTATTGTACGTTCCACATTTGACGTTAACCTTTTTCGTACACAACGACCAAAGCAATGCATTTTTACTATTCACTCACCTAAAATAAATAAGCAAGACAATACAGCAGTTAGTTGGGATTTAAAAACAGTTAAATTCACATAACGGCAGTAATGAAGTGTACATTTTTAAACAGCTCCCAAGTTTATACTACTATTTAAAATATTTATGCATTACAATATTTTGAATAAAAAAAAAATCAAGAACAAGCGTACAAATGTAATATAATAGTTAAAATAAATTTAAAATTGTAAAATGTAATCAAAAATGTCAAAAATACTACTTAGGCTAACGCTATTTTTAAGTGTTACATTATCAAATGTAAAGGCCCATAACATGTTATTACTCTACAACGACAACAATATTGTAGTTTAAAAGCATTACGAAACGGATTCTTTATAAAAATAAAATAACACACCAAAATATGGTTTATTGTGGAGACGAAATATTGCAGTCCATTTTCCACATTACTTACGACAGAAAAAATAATATCATTCTACTGTTCACTTGACACAGCCAAAATACATTCCACGCCTTCGAAGTATATTAGTGTCAGTATACCGAATTCCCGCAAGTTTTATAATACTATTATATTTTCATCGGCGTCTATATGCTCCAATTTTGTATTCGTGCATATTTGGTGCACTTACACAATGTAATAAATAATAATTCACATTAAATGCTCTACAGCTGATTTCCTAGTAAAAAAACTTGAAACATTTGTAACGTGATAGTTATTGAAATTTCTTTTCGAAAATATGTATACTAGTTGTTTCTTTAATTGTAAACCTTTTGTCAATTTACCGGATTCAATTTGTTTTTTCAAAAATCGACGTGACTAAAAAAATAGAAAGGTAAAAAAAAACTAAACGCAACAATAGCCAAAGCGTGTAATTTCTGAATAGTTATAATTTAAAATATTATTCATGAAAATGTATTATGTATGTTTTTATTTTTATCAATGCAGGATTTACACTTTTTGTATTTATTTTAATATCGACTACATTTTCCGAGGTGAAAAAAGTCTCATTACTGCTACTGGTCTGTCGTCCTGTTTGCTTTTGCTTTTACAAGTACTTCAAATGATTAAGTACCTATAATTTTGTTTTGTGTACACTCTATCGAGGATACAGAAGTTATCATTTTTTATGGTAGAATCAGTTTGATTTAGCCCTTTGTCGTTCAATGGCTTTTGCAGGGTTTTACAATACAAACGGATTTCCAATGAAAATTTAGTATATCTTATAAGTCTATCCTTTATACTACCTACCTACGTCCTACGGTACATAAATAGTATATTTATCAAGTTTTCTTACATTTTCATTTTTTTGAAATATAAAGTTACAAAGCTTTGAAGGAGGTTGTACTTAAGGAGCTCTGTTACTTTTTAAATAATAACCCTCCAAATACTTTTTATTGGAATATATAATATATATTGCCATGGCATATGGACTGATAACAAATGATCAAATTTTCACCATTTTACTATTATGCTAGTGTCTACAATAAACTTATTTAATTTCCTTTATTTTTATACAATTAAAACATCATAACCAAAGATTATTAGCTTTACAACATTATCTACTATACGATAATTACATAAATAATGACGTATTGGGAGTTAATTGTTTTTTTCAATAAATGTTTATTTTTTTTAATTTAATTATTCACATACATTTTTTTTAAGTATGTTAGTATGTTTTCAAAGTTTTTTTCGGATGAACTTAAGACTTCAGTAATGAGATTTGATGTTGGGCTCTTATGTTGAAATGGCTGCGACAGCGAATTATAATATGTGTTTCCCCACATGTTATGCATATTTCAATATCCTTTGGTTTCATGAGAGCTCATAGGACAATCTGTTATGAACTATTATTGTAATTTCTGTTTGTTGTAACTTAGCGTAATGGTTCGGGCTTAACAATATCAAGACGGCCAGAAACCGAGGGAATATAATTGTAAATCCGTATCACTTGTATGTAAATACTATAAAGTGGTATTCGTGTTGTATCATAAGTTTGTTGGGTGTAGGCTATAGGGTGTAAAAGGATAACGAAAGTATACAGCAGTATAAATAGTCTACTGTATACGATGGTAAACATAGTTTCCGCCAAAACGATAATGATTAATCGTGGACGGTCACCATCCTCGCCGCCATTGACCAAACATTGGTCGATAACAACCCTTCCTATTCGACTTAGATAACTTTCGATTACAGTTTGTATCTCAAGTTTAAGGATTTCATTGTGGTTTGCGATATTGAGTTATGGCTGCCGGTTTCATTTGCTTATGGAAACGTACAACCTCAAGTATAATGATACGATTTTTGAATGTTCGAAAGCCAGAAAATGTGCAATAGAGAGAGAGAGAGAGAGAAAAGCAGACAGAGAGAGTAAGAAAGAGAAAGAAAAATTGACTATATAATTTAATACCTAAACATAATATCAGTTTTTAAACCGTGTTTTAAGATATCTCGTTGTCGTTTATACAAGAAACTCTGATCATTATTTTATGCGACGTTTGTTCAAATGGATGTTGTTGACTCAAATTTGTATTATGGTTACGATATAAAATATACTTGTTTGCTCAGACACGAGTGTATTTGAAACGATTTGCTAATACTTAATAATAACCACAATGACGTCATAATATGATGGTATAATATTATGTTGTACAAGTTATTGTCTGTAGAAATATTAATAATAATGTATTAAAAGCATGACTTTTTTTGTGTGGAACAATGGATTGATATTAAACTAAACCTTTTTTGAAAAACAGCAAAGCATTAAAACTTATATAATAACCACTGAAAGAACAAGTATTATACGTGAAGCAATATATTATTTTAATACTAATATGAAATAAATTCTCTCGATAAACGTACTTGCATATTTATTTTCTTAAATATTGTAGTTCAATAATTTCCCAAAATTATTTTAATAAAACAAAGTAATGTTAAATAATTTTTACTCATGTAAAATTAATTTTTCATAAAATGAAATAGGTCTTTTTATTATCCATACATATTATATTCTCGTGGGGGCCAAACGGTTTTCTATTCGAATGTCTTCGAAAGTACCCACTTTGTTTCAATAGAACATCATTGTATACTTTAGGTTATATGAAGTTTAACATGAATTGTGAGTTTCATTGAAGAGGGTTATTAAATCCGAGAATAAATTATTAATTCTTCCATACAAGGTGTTTTTAAGTGATCCACTCAATATCTCTTAAGGTTTAATTAGTTAATGTTTTTTTCCGCTGTGATATAATGCAATTTGATTTTAATTTTTCACAATCTTTTATAGTTTTAAAAAATGTAATTTTCTAAGAATTAAACCTTATGAGATATTAAATGGATTACTTTAAAAAAATCACTATGCATAATTTTTTCAAAATGTCTGCACTTCTTATATGATAATGTTTAGGTTTTGATTTTTTAAAGTAACTATTTCAGTATGATATATATGTGTGACGGAGTGGCCGAATGGACTATGACGGCGGTTCCAACGCGCGCACAGTCGCCGGTTCGAATCCTAAATTTTAAACTCTTATAACTTTAAAAATAGTTATCCAAAACGGGTTATCGATTATATAATATATATATATATTTATTTTATAATCCTATATTCCTATATCCCTATGTATTTATATATAGGGTGATCAAAGTATCGTGAACCACTTAATACCTCACTGGGTTTGATTAGTTTATTTTTTTTCATAATGTTTATATATATATATATGTATTTAAGATTTATATACAAAATAACAAGCGATTGCGATATTATAAATATTTTAAAACCACAAATTCTCATTTTCTCAATGATTAAAACTATTATTTTTTTACCAGTTAATATTAGATTTATTTAAAATACTTATTGTTTAAAATATTCTTTTGATAAATTGTTTATAAATTTTCATTTTAATTCGAAGTAATATATTTACCATGTAATACAAAAATTATGTTTTGTTGATAAACGATTCTGTCTAATGTTGAGTTAAACCTTTATGTATAATATATGTAGTGTTTTAATTAGTTTAAAAGTATGACTGCTAATGAAATTTACAAACTGAATGTACTCAATATTTAAACGAGTTCAAATTAAATACAACATTCATTAGAATATAATGCAGTAGGCGAGTAAAGTTGATTAGACTGGAAACAGACAGCTGTTTTAAAGCAAAGCCCTTTAAATATTTACACGATCAAGGATTTAAATAGTAAAAATGATTGTAACTCTTCATTTAATATTATTTTATTCGTGGAAGTGTAGTTTAATAGAAATCGAGTATTACATTTTTTATATATACCTGATGTATTTTTTTTCTAATTAATTGTTGATTGAAAATTGATGTAACTATTTTGATCAAACAATTATATTATAAATATTAA